TATGTGAGGTGACCAGACAACTTGCAACCAAGGTATCCAAGATGCTCTCATGTTAACATATATTTCTTGTAAGAATCAGATTCCTCTTAGTTGTGCCAAATTGCATCAAACTATGCAAAGTGACACCATTTTGCTTTGTAGACCTACTTTGACACCAGTTGCTGAAGCAGCCTGCTTTTTAATATTACTTTTATTAAAAAAAAATTTTAACAAGATGAAAGCAATACAAATATTAGAAAAGAAACAAAGAAAATAAAGAAAAATAGTGAATAAGTCAGAAAGAAAATAGAAAAAGGAAAAGATGATAAAGAAGTGGCTTCCAATCTTTTTGACAGAAGTTATAAATGCATTTATATTTTAAAGGGGCTTAGATCATTTTGTTCTTCTATAATTTCCTTCTTCCATAAGCTACCCCTTCTAATTGTCAAACCCATAAATCACAAGTTTTTTTTTTTCTTTCTTTTTTCAGCAAAAAGTCCATAAGGGGTTTCCAGTCAGTGCTTCAGTCTGCTTTGAGGCAGCTCCCCAAGGCAGAAAAGAAAGACATTCTACCTCATTGGCTCTAATACCTCACGACTTGACACTGTGCTGGGTCCCATTGCTTTATTTCAGTGGAAATGAGTTCTGTGCATGCAAGGCACCAAGAGGCACTCTGATGAAGCCTCAGTTAAAACAAAGCACCCCTTCGGCTCATTTTCTACAACCCCCAGAATTGCTTGTGAAAACTGGAGGGTTCTCTCCCCGTCCCCCCGGTAGCAAAGCAGAATCGCTCATTTCGTCTCATCAGTACTCTAAGATGAGGACAGAATGAAAACAGAGAACACTTGTATCTGTTCATCATTGCACAGAAGCTGTTTTAAAACGGAGGGTCAGATCAAAGTAATATCTCAAGGCATTTCTAAAAATAAGTTTACATTTCTGGTGGGAAGCGGAGAGGTTTCCTCAACAGCTGTAGTGTCTTTAACCCAAGAAGAAAACATTTTCGTTGCTTTGTCACTGGTTTGGCCATTCCCTTGACGTCTCCTGGGAATGCAGATGTTTGGCAGTTCACATAGTTTTGTGACTCAGTTCACATTTACAGGCCTCTCGGGCTTCCAGCTGTAATTCAACAATGTCCCAATGGAGAAAAGCAGTATGTTTTTAACCCTGGGAAGTCTTGAGGCAGAAATGCCAAGCACTGTTCTCTCCCAAATGCCATGTGTTGAATGAACAGGGACGTGAAGGAGGAAGACTTGATGCATTTTGAATAGGAATGCCACATTCAAATTGTGAGAGTGCTGCATAATATCTGTCTACTTCACTTTTCAGCTTTTGGGCTAAGATCAAGTGTGGCGTCTACCTCTGGCAGTACTGCATATCAGTCTAGGGAAGGTGCCATTTCTTAGTAAATATATGTTTTCCCCCTTACTGTATATATGAATTTTCCATCTCAGCAGGTGGCAGCATCTATGCAACCTTGGCCAATCCAGAAAGCTAAGCAAGGTTGCCTCTGGCTAGTACATGGATGGGGGATAGCATCTAGGAAGTCCAGAGCTGTAGGCTAGTCTGAAAAGAAGATAATGACCAACCACTTCCATGTTGGATGTGTCATACCTGTCTACCAAATTGTTTCCTTCATGGTGCAGAATAGAGGAAGGGTCAACTGGTCTTGTACTTTCCATCTCTATTCTGCAGCTGTTATGTACATAAAAGGTTGAAAGCTGAATAACCAAAAGCCACTCCTTTTGGGACCGTCCATGCTAATTATCCATACCATTGTTTCCAGGGATTTGGAAAATTCTGTCCCTGTAGATATATAGATATTGAGACTGTAGATTGTTGTTATTAAGTCCTCTGCTTTTTTACCTCTTGCCTCACCTACCTCTCTCTCTCCTCTCTCTCTCTCTCTCTCTGCTTTTGCCTGCCTTTTGTCCCCTTAACTGTTTTTGATTTTTTGCTGATGTTTGATAAATAAACATCAAGCTACATTTTTGATTGCTGTACTGAGAGTCATGTGTGCTTGCTCTGATATGGAATGTGTGAGAAGGCAGGGAGAAGTGAGGGCCTCAAACGAACCATGTTTGCTAGGGGAGAGTGCTGAGCACCATGGGGCAGCCTTGGGGGGGGCGGCAGGAGGGAGGAAAGACTGCAGGCAAAAGGCACGTCCGCACCAGAGGGAAGAGAAACGGCAGGGGGCGGCTGTCGGGTCAAGTGGGGATTGGAATGTGTATTGCGCTG